TTTATTAAAATTAGGAAAAATCTTACAAGTACTCTAGAACATAAAACTTTCTGGAAATTATTTTAATAACAGTACACATCAAAACCTTAAAATATTTATACTTTTTAACATAGTTATTCTACTTGGAATCTCTTCCATAGAAATAATGATTTTATATATGTGTGTGTTTGTGTGTGTGTGTATGTGAAGTATATTTGGCAGTTTGTTCATAATGGAAAAGTTGGAAACAGTCTAAATGTCTAACTGTCTCACATAGGGGAGTGATTGAGAAAACTCATGGAATGCCATGTGTATTAGTTTCCTAGGGTTTTTGTAACTAAGTACCACAAACTGGATGGCTTACAACAACAGAAATCTATCTCTTACAGTTTTGGGGGAAGTCTAAAATCAAGATGTCAGCAGTGTTGGCGCCTTCTCTGAGGCAGAGCCTGTTCCATGCTCCTTTCCTAGCTTCTGGCGGTGGCCGGCCATCCTTGACATCCCTTTGCTTCACTCTAACTCAGCTTCCGTCTATGACGTTCTTCCTGTCTGTGTTTGTCTTCACAGGCCATTTTCTTATAAGGATGCCAGTTGTTGGACTAGGGGTCTCTGTACTCCAATATGATCTCATCTTAACTTCACTAATTTCCAAATAAGGTCACATTCTGAGTTACCCGGGGTTAGGACTTCAACTGTCTCAATTCAAGCCATAACACCATATGATAGAATAGTAAGCAGCTATGAAAAAACATTTAGGAAGAGTTTTTAAGGACATGGGAAAATGTTCTTAATAAGCGAAAAGGCGAAAGTCAAATTGGTGTGTGTGTGTGTGTGTGTGTGTGTGTGTGTGTGTGTGTGTGTATCTATGTCACTTTATGAAAATATGCATTATAGAAAGTCTAGATGGAAATAAGTGTTAACTTTGGTTATACTCCTGACACTCACAGATGAATACTTCCTGCATTAAACAATTTCACTTTTTGCTTTTCAACTAAAACTAAGTTAATTTAGGAAAAGATAGGAAAAAACTTGCATGGAATATTACTTTTAAAATGTGTTATTTATCAAGTTGTTTGCAAGACCCTTATTGTGGCAAAATGTGAAATAAACCAGCATACTTGCTTCATTTGTAAGCTCATTGAATTTGAATTTAAAAATTAAACATTTTATGTATACCATATTATTGGTGTGATTCTATGGCTTGAGACTGGAAGAAAAAGAAAGCTTAAGTGGTTGGGAGGCTCTCAAAAACACAATTCTGACTACACAGATATAAACAATTGCAATAGAAGAAAAAATATCTAAAATATTAATGTTAGTTGCCCAGATATCTTGCCTTTTCAAAAGT